TTTCTTTTGAAAGGCTTGCATTGTGGGTTGCCAAGCCAGGCGATCACCAGCCAGGGTGTCAATCTCGCAGAATTCCGTTGCTTCAAGGCATTCTTGAAATTTTGTCTCGCAATGTTTCGAGCCGGTCTCGATCTAGGAAAAGAAGAAGGGAAGGGGACCTTACCTTCATTTTTTCATATCCTTTTTTACCCTTCAGATGCACCATGTTGTCTCAGGTGTCGATGTTTACACACGGAGTGTGCTTGTACTTCGGAGCCCTTTCCCCAGACAGTTTGTGGTGTGCCATGCCGTGCCCAGTAGCTTCAGTGGCCAAACCTAAGGGGCCTGTGTATATGATGAGGAAATATTAAAGATAACGTGTCCAAGGCCGTCCAGGCTGGGCATTAGGGAGGCATTAGGGTTCCTGGTGCCAGTATCAGGCGGTTGGCCTCACCAAGTGTAATTCTATATATAGAGAATAGAGATTGATGTCTGGAGCGGGGCAGAGATGAAGACCGGATGAAACCGAGAGGTTGGTTTGAGAGAAAGCGAGACATGCTTTCAGTTTTTGCCGGCCAAGGTGCATGAGAAAAAATTTGACGCCGGAGTAGCTGAGGAAAAGCGTGCAGCTTGGGCTGGGAGGCCTGGTGATAGTCAGGCCACGTGAGGAAAAGGGCATCTTGAAGCCACTTTTGGAATGGCGGGCGGGCGTTTGACAAACTCGCAAGTGATTTTTTCGTAACTGACATTCCGCAACCATTTGCCCTCACACGTTTCATCACGTTTCATGTTAATTAGTTAGTTGGCACATTACGGTTATCCTGCAAAAGACACAGCACCCAAGAGTGACAAATTTAAACCCTGAGCACTTCTCAACATGAACCGAAGAGAGTCCCTCAACATGCTCAGCATGCCAGTGCAAGGTTGGCCAACCAGTGTCACAAGCGAAATACTGTAAATTGCCATGAAGATGGACATGGAGGACGAGGTAGCCCAAAGGTATGAATCACCAAAAGCTGCCACACTGGGCCTGACAGTTTTCTCTTTGAGCTTTCTGGCCCTCTTTGTTGCAGCTGCTATTGCCGCAGAGTCCTTTTGGGAGTTCTGGGGTGTTTTGCTGTGGCCAGCCTGCTTGCTGTGGTTAAATTTATGCGTTCTTGTGCCCAGCCCCAAGCTTGTCCAGCGACGCATTTGCACAGCCCTTGGCTGTCTTGCTCTTTTTGTGCTCCCGCAGATGGAGATTTGCAAAAAGGTTGGCATGACGTAGACCGAGTGAAAGTGCTGGGAGCTGCTGAGCATGAATCACACTACCGCTCTGTCTTCTACGAGTTGATATTTGCACTGCTGGGGTTGGTGGTTTGCGGTGTGGCGGTCAACCATCTTCCCGAAAGCCGCTTGACAACAAGCTGCATTTGGCTTCTTGTTTGTGCATTTGGCGTTGGATGTGTGGTTTTTGGCTTCTACACCTTTGACCGGGCCTACTTGTTCTTGCTTTCCTACTTCAACCAGCTCAGCGTGCAATCAATTTTTGGGCCTGGATTATGGCAATCTCGGACTGTGAAGGACTTCTGGCGGCAGTGGAATCTTCCAGTGCAAAGGATGCTGATGCACGGCATTTTTCGACCACTCAGAGATGACTTTGGTCTCTCCTCAGACGTCTCTGGCTTTGTCGTCTTCTTGGTCTCCGGTCTTGGCCATGCTTGGCCTCTTGTTTGCATTGGGGCAAGGGGACACCAAATTGCCATGATGATGACCTTCTTTGTGTCGCAGATGGTTCCAATGAAACTGGAGTCGTCTCTCAACATCCAGAGCCGCCCTTGGGTGTATGCAGTAGAGATTCTCATGTCGCCACTTTTTGTCTTGCCACTTTTGCAGCTTGGGGACGCACGGCTTTTGCACTTGTGAGCCGTGCCTTTGTTCCACTTTACTCCTTCGAATCATGCGGGTCCTTGTGCGTCTCACAGCACTGCCATGTTCAAATTTCAGACCTCGATGTAAGATGATGTAAGTGCAAAAAGGAGACTTGCCAGACTTGCTCACTCTCACAGCTCGCATGTGCAATGCAGATGTTGTTTGTATTTTGGGGGGGCGCCTGAGAGCCTAAGGTTTTGGACATTTCCAGGGCAGTGCGCCTGGTTCGAGCCTTACTGTCTCCCACTTTCTATTGGCATATTGCATCAGGGTGCCTCAGCCCGGTTCCTTCAGGACAAGTCAGCCAAATGCGGTTCCAACAATCGAGGTCACTCAATCTTTGTACCCGAGCTTCCAGATATGCTGTAGGCCCTTGGCAAGTGCTTGGCTCCAAGTTGAAACCATTTGGTCACGTGCAGTCCAGCTATCCAAGCACATATTGCAAGGTTCCCAAGACGAGCCGGCGGATTTTAGTCCGGTGCTTGTGTCAATGAGAACGGGAAACGGCAACCAGAGTCCGGATCTGGCCTCAAGTAATGCAGCCTTTGGACAGGCAGGCTATTTGGCACACCATGATGACTCCAACACTATTTCCGCTGGGACCACAGCAAGTTGAGATGCTTTGGCTCGGGCAACGCTCCGACAGAACCCCGCAACAAGGAGACAAGTAGACAAGTCTTTGTACTCCATACAGCTGATTGCCGAATATGATTCAGAAACCAGCAATCAGGTGCTTTATTGCGAGCTCCAGCCGCAGCAGGGTGATAAGGCTCGGATGTGTGGGGACAGCTGGGCCATGTAAAACGTTTGGTAGCAATGCTGTTGATCACTGGTCCGTGTCAAGCTTTCAGTTACACCACCGAGGGCAGGCTTGTCATGTACGACAATGAGAGCTGCCAGGACTGCTGGAGCACAAATCTGCACTTCGTTTGCTTTGTCCTGATACGGCTTGAGGAGTGTTTGTCAGAGATCATACTGACGCCTCGCTTGCTGCCAAGTCTTGGGAGTAGGGAACGGGCAAAGGTGTGTTTGTTGGTTGTTGCATGTGACATCATGTGAGATTGTAAGAGAAGTGAGAGAGACGGACAGAGAGAGAGACAGAGAGAGAGAGAGAGAGCGCGAATAAGTGAGTGAGTGAGCGAGCGAGCGAGAGAGCTGGCAGCAAATGATGCCCAAAAGGTACAACTTGTACTGAGAAGGTTGGCATCAGCCATGGCCTCAAAGCACGGCACCAAAATCCAAAAGGTTATATACAAGATTCTGCGACCCGCCATGGGATTGCTCGCGCTTTTTTGAGCGTGGAGCCGTAGATGGTACATGACGGTAGGAAAGCTGAAAGCCTAGAACACGCAAATAGCACGAAGCTGGGACAAAGGTTCAGCGCTGAGGGTGCAAACATAACATGCCAAGGTTGTACATGCTTCACCGTGGAGCAGCACCTTTTTTCTGCACGAACCATTGCTGAGAGGAAGCTGTGGCTAAGGCTCTCACCACAGCCCCGGGAAAGGACAAATGTTGATGGAAATCCACGTGGGTCCACCGAAGTCATGCTGCACAATGTGCACGTCATGTTACAATGTTGCAATTTGATGGGGCTGTGGCCACACTGTCAGGGCATTGTCGAACATCAAGGTGAAACTGCAGAGTTTTGGCTGCAAACTGCGGGCTTGCCAAGTGTTGAGACCTTCACACAGTTGGGCACCCCTTCAACTCGGCCAGATGAGCACTGGGTGGCATGTTTATTGCCTCTCGAAATGGCAGTCAGCATTTATGACCGTAAGGAGCTCAATGTGCTTTGATTGTTCTTGGTTCTTGATCATTGAACGAAGTGGACGGAGCTCAAGTACAGGACTGAGTCCTGGTCAGGTGGTTTCAAGAAAGGGCTTAGACTGAAGCTTCTCGGCAAGTCTCCCACACCTCCCAGCAGCAGTTCCGAGAATGGGAACCCTTTTGATATGGCAGGGTTCTGAAAACCGTGAACCATATTAGGAATTTACTTCCCATGCCCTCGCTGGAAGATCTGCATCACGGTGTTCGCAAAATTTTGGGTGTTCTATCTCAGGCATGGAGCTCCCGAACCTGATGAAGAAGCTCTAAGGCAGTCAGAGTCCCTAGTGTGACAACGCCTCAAACAAGGTGTTTTTGATCTTGGCCGTTTTGCTCCACGCTACTCTTACCGGGCTTGCCCTCGCAAAAACAAGATTTGGTTTGCAGGAACGCTTTCTCTACAACCGGGTTGCTGCCTCCTACTTTGTACATTTGGGGTTGGCAGATGCCATTGCTTTGCCACCTCGCCCAGTTATCGTGTGGCAATCCTGGAGCATGCGCGAACAACTGGCTGCAACGACACCCAGGCTGAGCCCTTGAATGACTGACCATGTTGCCTGAGCAGTGAGCAGTGTGCAAGGGTTGGTAAAGTAGGATAGGCTGCTTCATCGCAGGCAGCCCTGCACTTTGCAAACCCAAGTCCCATCACGAGTTTCTAACTTCTGATGCAAGGCTGAGGTGGAGTGTCCAAAATTTGCCTGCAAGGCCGTTATGGATGCCTTGCTCCGACGGCATGTGAAGCACATCCAGTTTCCGGTCAAGCTCTGAGGAAGATACTGTATTCGCTGAGCAAGTGCAGTGACATTGCCTTTATGCCCAAACTAGCCAAGGAGATGCCTTTTGGCTATAGCCAAGACCGCCTGTTGTGTGCCTGAAGTTTGTTTCCTATTTGGCACTGACTCGTGACCACTTTCTTTATAATTTATAATATTGAGAAATTCATAGAAATTCTCCAAAAACAGACACAGGACGGTTTCTTTGCCATGCCAATGCAGCCTGATGTTCAGGCGGGCGGCTTCAATGGTGTCAATAGCAAATTGGCTCGGAAGTTATATAATTAAATGGTATTGTTCAGGTTCCGTCGCATGACTTGCCAGCAGTTGCGCGTGGGACCCTAGATGGACAACAGTGAACACCCGTGAGCTAGTGAGCGCATGTTTGTTGTGAGAGCCAATCCCCGCAGGTGTGGGCAATCCTTCCCACCTCATTCTGAAAGCCGTTTCTGGCTTTGCTGCCTAGCCCTGTGGTCGCCATGCTTTCAACGTCATAGCTGACCGCAGCCAATGAAGCGCGCACGAAGCAAGCATTTGTTCTCGCGCAAGCGCAAGCAGTCTGCAGCCGGCGAACCTCACTGCATTTTGTCCGCAAGAATGCTTATGACATTTATGAATGAATGTAGGCGACGGATAGCTTCGCAAGTTGTCAGAGCCGCATCTCAGCCATTTGAGCAAAGCTTCCAGTCCAAGGTCCTGCACCGGGCACTGAAGAAGTTTATGTGAATAGCTTTGGGACCATCATCACGGAGGGTTTGCGCCGCTTCGAGGAGCACTACAGGTGGCTGCATGCGTTTTCAGTTCTTTAATTTTCTGCCAGGAAGTTTGACGCGCATTTTTCATGGTCGTTTGAGGGGAGGACCTTGTGTTGAATGAGTTTGAGTCATTCTCAGAATGGTCTATTTCCGGTTTAAGCCCTTCTCAGAGCACTTCCCAAGACACTAAGAAACCCCATAATCCCATCCATGTGCCATTCCCAGGCCTCAGTGTTTGGCGGATGGTAGTGAGTGGGCCAAGTTAGCACATTCTTTGCGGCAGCCGCTTCCTGTTGCTTTTCGTGTGAGCAAAGAAGCCTGGAGCCAACTGGAACATTTCCACGAGGACGGTTCCAACAAACCTCGAAAACCGCCGATAGGTCCGATTCAATAGGGCCGGCCGAGAAGTACAGAGCGTGCCGCGGGGCGTGTGCTGCGCGTGGGTTTGGGAACAAATCAATCTGCACATTGCCCATACACCGACCCAAGGGGTGTTGAGCCATGAGTGATGAGAGTGAGATATGACAAAATCTGGGAAGACTAAACCTGCACAACTGATTGGTGGCCAACCCATTCTGGCACCCATACAGTGCACCGCAGGAGTTAAAAGATGGATGCACCACTGCATGGGGCCGATTTGTGCCAGCTCCTCGGTACTTTCCATTTTCCCGGACAATGTCACTAGGCTGCGACGCGAAAACACTCAGACAGGAACAGATGGAGAATCCAAAGTCCGCATTGTCACAGTTGGGGCAGTGGCTCACGAAAAGCTCAGCTGAAGGACGTATTTCGCGTCAGGAGGTAGTGAGCACAGTTCCGGTTGCTGTCCTTCGCCTTGAGCCTCACCATGTTGTGTTGGATCTTTGTGCAGCACCTGGATCTAAGACATTGCAAGCTTTGGAATTGGCTGGTGCAGTGATTGCAAATGAACTTAGTGCCAGCCGCGCTTGTGTCTTGGCAAGGAGGTGCACGTTGCAAGAGCGGGCTGCTTCATTGGCGGTGGTGCAACACAAGGCTCAGACCTTCCCAGGACCCTGTGGCGACAAGACACGTGGGTTTGATCGTATCATTTGTGATGTGCCGTGCAGTGGAGATGGCACAATGCGGAAGCATCCAGAGAAATGGCGATCATGGAGCCCGCACTTGGGCAGAGAGCTTCACTCCCGGCAGCTTCAGATTGCTTTGAGGGCAATGGCTTTGCTGAAAGTTGGCGGCCTTATGATTCACAGCAGAACGCGTTGGTAAGATTACGGGTTTTTGCCCTCTTGCTGTGTCGGAAGATTCAGTATGTCTTATTGACAAGCTCTAGCACTCTTAGCAGGAAATATACTATACTATTATATTACACATTTACTAAATAAATATATATATATACAATGTTTGTATACATGAGTAACATATGTTTAACCCAATTCTAACATGTATTATAATAACATGTGTGCAAACGACTTAATTCTCTACATATATATATATAGTTTCTATATTGTTTTACATAGTGTTATTGGTTCGATGCTACTATATTCTCTAGAGAGGCGCTGCATTGTCCCCTGCGCCCCGTCCAGCTTGTATGTGGGGAATTGTGGGGATGCTACTTGAAGATGAAATGTCATGTCGGGTGGTGCGCACCAACCTTTTGAGCGCTAGTGTAGTTGCAGCCATTTGGTCGAAGGCATGCATTGTTCCGTTTTGGCCAACTCGGTTCAGGCCTGTACTTGGACTGGCGAGGACGCCAATGGACTGAGGACATGGCCATGAGTTGAAAAGGCGGTTGCGTGCGGCTTTTGCATTGAGCATTGTTTCGTTGTCATAGGATTGACATTGGTTGGGGCTTAGCAGTTCGCACTGGTAGCGGAGCCCTTCGGGGCCCGCTTGCGAGAAAAGATGCACGACAGAGAACACCAAAGGCGAATCCGCCATCCGCAGGTTCAGTGGAGACGGCAGCGAGCCACAGAAAGACTACAAGCTGTGGAAGCGATGGTCGAGGGCCTATCTGGCAGTGCAGAGAGCAAAGGGGGCAGATGAATCTGTTTTCGGAGCTATGCTGTTCACGATGCTGGATGGGACAGCGCTTCGTTCCTTCGATGCTGTCAACATGGACGACCTGGAACAAGCTGGCGGACAAGATCTGATATACCAAGTGCTGGACGACAGGTTTCCTGAGGAGGCTGTGCATGATCGTTTGGGCGAGGTATTGGATCGGGTGTTTGATCTCAAAGTTGACCGTGGCGAATCAACATCGCAGTACACTGGGAAGGCACGTGCAGCGTTTTCTGCAGCAGAAGCGGAAGGCGTACGCCTGCCATCGGTTGCCCGGGGTTGTTGAGGAATGCCCGACTACCTCAAGACAAGAAGGCAGTGGTTATGGTTGCCGCCAGACAGTCGTATGAGGAGACGGACATCGCGGCTGCTTTGAGGACGACGTATCCTGAGGGCCTTTACTCAGGTCGTCAGGGTCACCATGCTGCAGTTGTTGATGCTGAAGCGGAGGACGACGATGCAGGCGACATTGGAGACGTTCTCGTAGCTGAAGACGACGAGGGACTGTTGGGTGATGACCCAATCGAAGAGCAGGATGCAGTGGACGTCCTACTCTCCTGGAAGCAGACCAGGCAGAACATCAACAAGGAGAAGTTGTCGCGCGGGCTCAATACCGGAGGACTCAAAAAGACTGTGGAAGGCCGAGTGAAATGCTACAAATGTCAGAAGATTGGTCATTTGTCACGCAACTGCCCGACACGGAAAGGCAAATCAAGTGCAAAAGGTGACAGTTCTGGCAGTTCCAAGGTGAGCTTTGTGAACATGGTTGGAGGAGGAAACACTACATCCAGGACAGAAGATGCCGAGATCGATGCAGTGATGCGCAGTTGGTCAGACAGACCACGTGATTCCTGGACAGTGACCGATACAGAAGTGACCAGACATCATGTCAACCCACGGGCCGGGCCTCCATGTTCAGTCCAGCACAGACTGGATGCCCAGTGCCGGTCCATCAGTTGAGCATGGCACGACTGACCATCATGGAGTACCAGGACGGCACCGCCGATGAACAGTTCACACCAAACTGGAAGAACAGCTTGGAAGCTCGCCGGAAGACAGAGAGACCTTGGAAGGGCAAGACAATTTTCTACTACCTTCAAGGTCACGGATCAGTTGAAGAATCAGAAAAGACAGAAGTCAACGATGAAGCATTTGTGCGATTGCTGGATGCTGAAGACACGCTGGATCGAGAGATCTTTGGTGATGAGTACGGCGTTCAGGTACTTTTTGAGCCGGAGGAGGCGGATTGTTGCTGGACCCAGAAGATGCTTTGGACCGTGAGATATATGGTTCAGAGTATGAAGCCCAGTGCTTAGGCATCGACACCGAGGTGGCTGAGATCACAGCAGCCTTTTTCGAAGTAGCAGGAGAAGAAGCACCTTTCTGTGAACCGGGAAGCAGTTTTAAGCAGTGTAGTTGCAGCCATTTGGTCGAAGGTATGCATTGTTCCGTTTTGGCCAACTCGGTTCAGGCCTGTACTTGGACTGGCGAGGACGCCAATGGACTGAGGACATGGCCATGAGTTGAAAAGGCGGTTGCGTGCGGCTTTTGCATTGAGCATTGTTTCGTTGTCATAGGATTGACATTGGTTGGGGCTTACCAGTTCACAGCTAGGCTATATGCGGGCCCTCCACCGTTTCCTCCATGAAGCTCTCCAGAGCTGCACCCGCTACGCCTTTGTAGTTCTGCACGCTTGTGAATGACAGCGGGCCTGTTGCCCAAACAGCTGCGGAGAGAGTTGCAATTAGGCAAACAAAAGGATTGATTATATTTATATATATAGATATATAGATACACATATATATATATATGTAAACAGACAAAGACTGGAAACGTCTCTTATTATACATAGAAAGAGGCCAGAAGGGTGGCCCAAGCTGTACAGTTCTGAACTGTTTTACGTCTATGCTGTCTATGCCGCTGCCTCTATGTGATTCCCAAAGGTGCTGCAAACACTGCTGCTCGCTGTTATCCGGTGGATCTGTGCTTCTCTTCTGAACCTGCTGATGTGAGTACTGGTGTGATCATCAAAGGCTGCTGCTCGCGTTTGGATTTCTGGTATATATTTGGATTCGTTATTGGTCCCTGCGTACAGTACAGGCAGAAACCGCTTGGAAATCAAGCCCGGAGCTAGCATGCCACTTTCTTGCCATTTATAGTCATAATGTATCATAAATATACATAATCCTTTTAACACGTCCAAAATTACCTCACTGGTTGGGGCTTGAGGCTTAAGGCTGCAGACAAATCTTCACTTCCACAGTTGCACCATTGAGGACTTACAGCACCTGCTCCTTCAACCCTTTGGAAAACGAGGCGGTGGTTGCTGCCCTCCTCCTCCGAACCGGTGCCGTGCTGGAAGTGGTCCCGGACTTGCAGGGGCTGCCCACTCGGCCTGGCCTCACCACTTGGACTGTTGAGGAACTCCATGGCCCTGAAGGCGAAAAGAGCGGAATGATAGAGCTGACCATGTCAAATGCCTTTCAATGCCAGTCAATGCCTTTCATGCCTTCTACCAATGTAAAGTGCATTATACACCTTGAATAAAGATGTGATCATCATTCTGTTTCATTGAACTCTTGGCATCACCCGGGCTTCTCAGGCCTCACTTGTGGTTTTCTGACACTTTTGCTTCATAACAGCCCTTTTCACAAGTATGGCCCGCACCAGTGGACTTGTTGATCCCGCAATGGGAGGCCTCACCAAAGCACAACGCAAACGCTTTCGGCGTTCAATGTGGCCGCCTGATTGTGCTGATTTGCACCTCGAACGCTGTGTGCGGTGTCTTCCTTTCCTCGCCAATACCGGAGGCTTCTTCGTTGCACTGCTCCGAAAGGAGAAACCGTGGCCAACAGAATGTGAGAGGAGGCCAACGCCGACTCTTCAGAGTATTCAAGGCTCTTCTTCGCTTCAATTCTTGGATCAAGTCCCTCAAGATGTTACGAGAGATTTAGGAATTCCCACTACTTTGGACACAGGCAGCTTAGTGCAAAGAGGGGCAAACAAGCTTTTTTATTGCAGCGACCATTTGGTTTCTGCATTGCAAGAACGGGAGAAGCCTTTGTCAGTGATTGCCGTGGGCACGTGCGCTTTTCGATTCCAGCGTTCTTTGGGGCCACCTTCTATTTCTATAGGCAGACAACAGCGAAACAACTTGCGGCGAGGGAAATGGTTTTTGACCAAAGGCGCAGACTCCATGAAGGCAGTGAAACTTCGGAAAGAGACAAATGCTACAGCAGCAAAGAAGATATTGGAGGGACACACATGTTCAGTTTGCGGCCTGCATCGGCATGGCTCCCTCTTCTCCCGGAAAATGCTCACCAGGCCTCCCTCGAAGCGGAAATGCTCAGACTGTATGGCGAAGCGAGCGCCAAAAAAATGCCAGTGCTGCAGGGTCTCAGCAAGTTGAGGTAACCTGGGTTGCAGAAGTGGGGCCCGGAAAACCTTCCAGCCGGGGTGTTTGAATGCGTGATTGACTCCAGTTAATTCCATATGTGCATCAGCCAATGTAGAAGTCTTCCGTTGAACTTCGGTCATCACCTTGCTCGTGCCTGGATAAGGTCTTCCATCGATATTATATGCTTTCAGGTCCTGTGGACGCTGGACGGGGTCATTGTCACCAACCCAGGCTGTAGCAATCACAGGCACGGCTCCTTGAATCCTCTCAAATCCTCTCAAAAGCTGCTTGACATTTAGGCAGGACTTGACAGAGGATGAGCGTCAGCGTTGAACAAATGCGAAGAAGACCTTTTAAATGATACGAATGTTTTGCAGGAGGACAACCCTACGCCCCACAACAAGAAACATTAATTATATAATAAGGACTGTGGCTATGTTTCACGACTGCATATTTATTTATATAGGTCCAAGGGCCCCAAAGTGCATAAAAACAACAAACGTACATTACTGCTGGTGTGACAATCATAGGGAATTAAGAAAAGGAACAGGCTTGGGGGGTGGAGAAACTCTGCAGAAGATGAGCACCTTCAATAAAAATAGGCCACAGCATGTTGAACTATAGACAAATATATAAGACAAAGGCTGTGTCAAAGGAGGGTGATGTGCACTTTGTGTAGGGTGGCCAATTTCATAAATAGAAATGCGTGCAAAGGAGACCCTTAAAGAAACAACATGATAACGTATTACCAAGGATGCCCTTCCAAAAGGACAAGACTTAAACAAGAAATGTATGTACACTCACGGCCGTTATGGATAATTCCACGAGCTCTATATATACTTAGTTACTGGCAGTTACTGGTAGGATGTATTTGAGAATGATAGGTCGCAACCGGGTCAGTCCATGAAAATTGCCGTTGTGAGACAGTGCTGGGGAATTTTTCAAGGCGGTTGGGCCCGGTTGGGCCTTGGTTTTTTGGAATTTGTAGGTTGCAGGAGGACCGTAAGATCATAAGCATGTATCACCATGCATACGTTAAGCATGAAACATGTCAATGTCATACATGATGATGGTAGTTACTGTATATGGTTATATGGTAGTTGTACAATGTCATGTTTGACAATCTGTCGAGCAGGAGAGAATGAACCGGATGAGAACATTCGGCCTGAGGTTTGTCGCTGACATTGTGCAAATAGTGGAATGTGGAATAATATAAATCATGTTGTTTGCATTTTTTTGCAGAAGGTAATTATCATGTTGCATCCGTTCACTGCGGCCTGCCTAGTCCAAAAAACGTAATAAATCAATCCACACATTGCAAACAGGCAGAGCCGCAGAGCTGGAAACAATCTGAATCAACCTCCTTGAGCTGCTTCATATCCGATCTCCATGAAATCTTGGCTTTGCAGCTACTCTTCAGCCTTCTCAATCTTCTAAGTGAAAGTGGAAACCAAACGAGTACAGCCAGCTGACACCTGATCAGACCTGCTGGCCGTGAAAACTAGCGTGATGCCAACTGCCGGTTCTTCCAGCAGTTCACCTTTCAAAGGACATCAGACCTAAATGCTATCCATGCCCGAACTTGCTACCAAAGCTGTCACAAATATTCTTGGAGTAGTTTCAGCTTAGTCTCAGACTCTGAATTCTAGAGTTTGGGAGACATAGCCCTGCCTCTGCCTAGGACATCATCCCTGTACAGACCCTATGCTGCTGTAGCACTGGGATTCAGAAATACAATGACAGCACTTCTCAAGGTTTGCAAGGAAGAGGGTTGGGAAACGAAAATGTTTGAATTGTGGCGCTTATTGAAGGTTTAGAAAAGCAACAACATGTATGTAAAGAAGGATGCTTGCCTAAGTCTGAGTCTAAGCAAAGTTCTTGTGCACGACCACAGGATGCTTTTGAATAGTGGACCGTGGAGAAGATGAATAAACCTTGGAAACCTTGTGCAGAACGAAGGATTGCAAACGTTGTATACATGGGAAGGTGTTCAAAAAGGAACAACTTTTTGCAGGAGCAGAAGAAGCCCATGAAGCGGCACATTGTAGCTGAAATTCAGTCAAAACCACTTTGCTGTGCACTGATTTTTGAATTTTAACCGCAGTCATCTTCCCTTCCTGCAAAACTAGCTCAAGACTTACAAGTTGAAGAGTTTGCTGCAAGAAAACAATGCAAAACTCGAGGACTTGCTCTGTTATTTACATATATACAGATTGTGCCCCTGGTACTATAGTAAATGTCTGGTCAGCGGGACGAACAACGTGGCCATTTTGGGTCAAGTCCCGCACTCGAACGGTCCTCCCCTGAATTTTAAATCAGCGGGGGGATGTCAGTTCCAGTGTGGGTACAAGGAAGGCCCCAAGCCGGCAGGCCTGTGACCATTTTCGACCCCCCTCGAGGACGCGGTCGAAGCGGCAGCCGGGGGAGGGGACCCGGCTCGAAGAGGATCGATGCGGTCTCCCCCAGGAAGGACCGGGCAAAGCTAGGCAAGACGAGCGGGCTGTTTGCTGCCGGTGCTTGGTCCGCCATCGCAAGGATGATCGAGAGCGGGGTCCCTTCGAGCGAGATCCTGGAAGCTATCCGGAGCGGCTCGGAAGGCGATCGACCCTTGGAGTTCCAAGGAGAGTTAGGCGACGCGGAAGACACCGCAGTGAAATCCCAGTCGGAGGAGCGGCCACCTGAGAGTTCCCGGGTGGGCCCTCCAGGATGGGCATCGGAAAAGAAGGCGGAGAAGCCCTCTAGGGTGCCCGCAGGTTCTAGGGTGCCCGCAGGTTCAGAGGGTTCTTCTTCCGCCGCTTCTACGCCACATCTCTCATCAGATCGCTCCTCCCGGGATGCACCCACCTGGGCGCTCGGGGCAGCGCACTCGCCCCTTGGCTTCGTCAAGAAGGCCAGCAATCCAACCCCTCCAGCCCCGCAGGTGCGAGTGAAGGAGGAGGAGTCGGAAGAGAAGCCGGGACCATCGTCAGGTGCCGGAGCGGTGGAGCCGGAGTTGGACCCGGAGCAAGTCGCTAGGGGACTGGGAGAAGTCGGAATCTTCGGAGAGTTCTCCAAGAAGGCAGGCCGGCCTCCAGACCCAGAAGCCCGGACTTCCCAGGCAGTGCCGTATGTCCCTTTGAGCCTGCCTCGTAGGAGCCGCCCCCTCGAGGAAACCAAACTCGAGGAGTTCAGGAAGCTTGCAACCCACCTTTTCGAGGAGCTCGTGATCCATGAGGTGGAGATGGACCTAGTAGAGGCAGTGAGCTCGAAAGAAGGGATCATCGACTATGCACTCTTCCATAAGTACACTGATCCCAAGTCGGCCGGCACAGCTCTTCGGTATGCTCGCCTCTTGGAGAGGTACGTCCAGGCCTACGAGATTAAACACGGGGCTCCCTCGGTCACCGGGCCCAAGATCATGGGGCTAGAGGCCATACAGGCATTCGTCATCAGCATGATCGAAGAGGGAGTGGGATTCTATACCCCTCGGAGCTTCCTCTACGCCGTTGAGTACTTCGGCGGCCTCTTTGGGTACCACTCACCAGGCTCTGCGCACCCCCGCGTCCGAAGGCTTTGTTCCGATTACGTTGGCAAGTCACCGGAAAGGAAACCTGCGCCTTTCTTCGAGATCCGTTTTCTGAGCTGGCTGGAGAAGGTGGTGTTGGATGAAAGCCGGGACTTGCAGACGCGCATTGCTTGCGGCAAGCTTCGTTTGTGCTCCCAATCCAGCATTCGTCACTCGGACCTGGCAGGAACCGCCATGAGAGATGTTGAGTGGTGCCGGGTGGTTGGCAGTGCGGGAGTATTGGGACTTCGAGCGAAAGCTGCATACACTAAGTCCGGCCCCAGGACATGGGCGGCAAGCCTACTGGGAGTTCATCCGGACAATGACAAGTGGCTGATCAGGTGGGTGGAGCTCCTACTGGTGATGCACGGCCACGACTGGCGCACCCACACGTTCGTTGGCAGGGCGGCCGGGAAGACGGAGGGGTGGGAGATGTACCCCCCTTTGATCTCGGAGGACACCTTGACGGTGAAAAACGCCCTCCTGGCCGACATAGATGGTGGGAATCCGCACATCATGCCCAGGGAGCAGGCATTACGCCTGAGGTGGCACAGCTGCAAATCCACCATGCCGACCTACATGACCCACTTCAAAGTCACCACCAGAACGGTGAGGTTCCAGGGAGCCTGGAAAGATCCTTCGGAGCTTATGCCCGATTTGTATCTCCGCGAGTCTCAGATTCTGGTCCTAAAGGCGCAGATAGAGGTGTTGGACCAGATCCGCCGTGGAGCGGTTAATTATTCAGACCCTGGAGGGCCGGGAGTTAGACAGCATGCAACAGCCCGATTGGGCCACGGTCGAGACCCTCATTGAGGAGGACAGGCTACCTAAGTCCGGCGGGGCGATTTTGGGCGTGGAAGCCATGACGCGCGCCGTCGTATGCACGGAGGATCAACAGGGAGAACGCCAGATCAGCGGAGACTGTGCGGTCCCTGTCACCGAACTCCCACCTGCGCTGCGGGGCGCGGGAGCTGAAGACCTGGAGGAGCTTGAGGTGACCCTGGAGAAGGAGAAGGAGACCAAGACGAAACACTACCGAGATCATCCGCTGGAGCAAGTTGAGACCACACCCAACGGAGTTGAGCTGGGGCCGGACTCCGACGACAGCGAAGGCGATCCAGCGGCTACCGATTTGGAGATGCACCATACTTTCGTGCAGCTGGCCTCAGGAGCGGGGAGGATTCACAAACCTTCTCCGCGAGACGAGGGCCTACCGAAGTGGGAGCCAGGGATCAAGGTTCGCAGAACTGCAAGTGGACCACAGCTGGGGCGTGGACTATAAGCTCTGCAACAAGTGCTTCGGAAAGAACGCAGAGTCACCCACGTGCCCCTTGCTATGTGACTTCGTGTTGGTGAAGGGCGGCCGGGCTGTCCTTCGCTGCGGGCGGCGATGCAGGGGCGATCAAGTACAAGGGCACCTGAACCCAAGTGAGCCAGGCTTCGACCTCTCGAGTAGGCACAGGTGCACCCTGCACAGTGAAGAGGTGCTAGAGGACGACATTTGAGTCTGTGGACCGATACGATGCAAAAAATTCGGGTGCCAGGGCGATTGTTTAAACCATGTAGCCATGCAACCCAGTTCGCAAGATTTCATGCAATGCTGGAGTTTCCATTGGGGATCCATGTCCTTTCGTATGGACGTGATGGGTGCACATTGTAGACGTATGTGCCGATGCCCCAATGAGTGGATCAAACACCCCCCCCCGGAGTCCCGGAGTTCCTGCCGAGATGGCGGATGCAAAGTCGACTCTGGCCTTCGGACGAGCCGCGGTGAGCTTCGAGGTCCATGAGAGTGACTTTTTGGTCATGGCCGCAGACAAGATAAGCACCTTCGAGGCCATGGCATACCGACTCCCGTCCAACGCTGATCTTGAGGACTACCTCAAGAAGGTGCTGCGGAAGAGGGGAGGGTACCGCGACGAGAACGACGAGATCGTGGTTTACGACAAGCCGGTGATCCTGTCGTGGGAGGACTACAAGTCCGAGCCGGACACAGGCTGCCTTCGAAAGCTCTGGGGGCTGGCCACGCAAGTGGCCAAACGCCAGCTGGAGAGATTGGCCGGAGAAGAGGGCGAAGGGAAGTCCAAGATTACCCTGGCCTATGCCCAGGAGCTGGAGGACAAGGCGGTTGAGACCAACATGCCCGAAGCTAGGTCAGACAGGGAAAGGCCTTCGTTCCACACGCTCTCCAAAGTGCAGGCGACCTTCATGCCGAACGGGACGTTCCAGCACCTTGCTTGGGAGTCGTACGTGTCGATGGAGGTTGAATCAAGGTTGAGGCGAGCTGGAAGGTTGCCGAAAGACAAGAAGGAGCTCGTGGTCGATGGCAAGAACTTGAAGATGACCGACACGGATGTCGAGTTCCCGGAGACGGTCGTGGTCGACAACCTCGTGGCGCTGCAGGATCTCTTCGAGTTGAGAGCCAGGGCTTTTCACATCCTAGATGTCTGCAAGTACGACGTAGTGAAAGCATATGGGGAGAGGATCATCGCCAGCCTGCGTGGAGTCACGGCAGAGGGCATGAGGAACCCCACAATGAATGAGGCGCGTCGTGCAGACAGGGAGATTTTTGGAGAGATCCTGAAATGGGTGGCCAAGGGAAAAGGTTCTGTGGAGGCAGGCCTGAGCCACTACACCAGGGAGTTCGCCACGGAACCGCTTTGGAAGCTCCTCAGCCAGCAGCCAGAAGGCCACCCTGACCAAGGAAAGGAGAGGCGACCCTCAGAGGCCCCGATTGTGCATCGTCTGCCGCAAGCACCACGAGCCGCGCTGCCAGATCCCTCCCGGATTTCGGAAGGAGCAGAAGCAGCAGTCGCGTGAGCAGAAGCGCAAGCGGGAGGAGGATCACAAGAAGGAGAAAGGAGGGAAAGACGCCAAGAAATAGGGACAACTCCTCTCGGGAGTGCGAGCGGCCCGCGCTCCGGGAGGTGTAGAGTTTTTAAAGACAGAGAGCCTCCGACGAGAGGAGAAAAAGGTCGCTGAACCCTGGGATTTGTTGAGGGGAAGGGATGTTTTTCAACACCGTAAACAGCTCCATCGGGACCTCGGTACCTCAGACCTACAGCACTGGGGTCCGAACTGCTGCACCTTTTCCCGAGCCCGTGAAAGACCAATCCCAGGAGTCAAAAACCCCCCAACACTTCTCAGGAGCTCACACTTTCCAGAGGGTATTCCAGAGGTAATAGCCAAACTCCCTGTCTCCAAAAGACGTAAACTAGATTTGGATACGCAGATGGCCGACATGGCCGCTTTGAATTGCCTGGAGGCCAAGCGATCGGGGAAGTTCTTCACCCTGGAGCATCCGAGAAACTCCATTGCCAGAGACCTAGAGTCCTGGAGGAGGTTAGAGTCGGAAGAGGGGGTGTGGGCCACGGAATATCACTCGTGTATGTTTGAAGGGAGTGAGAGGAGGAAAGCCCAGGTCCTCATCCACAATATCCCCGCTTTGCATAGTAGTTTAAACTTGATTTGTAGTAATAGCCGTGTCTGCACACGCACAGGCAGACACCACCTCTCTTGGAAGCCAAGAGTTGAGAAGGGGAGGGTCACATCCTTTGCGACAGGCCTAGAAAGGGAGTACCCGGTGGGCTTCTGCAATGCATATGCGAAAGCAGTGTCAAACGACACACGAAGCCGTATTCACTCGTTCATTGAAGTCTTCTCAGGCCCCAATGCACCCCTCTCATGTGCCCTCGCCGAAGCCTGGGGAGTCTATCCCCCAGTTCCTCCGGATACGGTGAGACCACCAGGACCGGAAGAGTCAGAACTGTCCAACGTGCAAATGGGAGAAGTGCAACCCGTGCCTCAGACGTCTCAAGCGCCCCAGACGAAATCCCCACCGGAGCACCGGAGGGCATGATGTTGGGGAACGCCGGAGTTGAGAGTACGAGGTCACGCGCGCAGGCCGTGGAGGCGGCCAAGCAACCCAGCTTCGGGAAGCGGCAGCAGCTTATACCTAGCGGGTTAAATGACGCGAGGCTGCACTTGAACCAAGCACGCAGGCTGAAACATCCTTTCTCCACAATGGAAACCCTAAAGAAAGATCACCTCGAGTGCCTGGATGCATTGCGGGAAGAACCCGCAGCGTTGACTCGTTTTCGGCTGGAACAGCTAGCGCGAGTCAGAAAACTCAAAGCAGAGCTCGAGGTTGAGCAGGCGAGCGCTAACGCCTCCGCGGCATGGACGGCCAAAAAGCTCAGTGTCCGGCCCAACACATGTCTGATGAGTCGCCTGCAGACTCTTCTACACATCGAGGACACAGAAGTTCCGACTCTGTGCCTGGAAGGGATGCGCATTACGGGGAGAGCACATTTATCCCCTTTCTTCGAACCCTTTGAAGTCCGACCGTCCATGTCTCGAGAGAGTTTTCTCAACGGGTGCCAGGAACGCTCGCTGGCCATGATCGACAGAGTCCGACACATGGCCCAAAAGGGCCCCCCAGAGCTGGCTCAAGCCATCTGGGAGAAGACCCAACGTGAAGTGGCGGCAGGGACCATGGGACCAGCCCTCACACTAGATCAGGCTCATGCAAAGTACGGTGCTGAAGTTCAAGTCACCCCGAGTTTCGGCCTGGCTCAAGGCACCAAGTATCGTCGAATAGACGACCACACTGCATCGGGAGTAAACCAGATGGCACATCGCTTGCAGAAGGTGCCAATGACCATGGTCGATTACATCGGCGTCATGCTTCGTGCACTAGCAGCACATTTCCCGTCTGTCAAACTGGCAACGGAGGACATGAAATCCGCGTATCGGCAGATAGCTCTGCATCCAGCGGACGTCCGGTTCGCGATTACCGCAGTGTACGACCCAGTCAGTGATGTTGTCTCACTTCATGAGATGTACGGACAACCCTTTGGTGCCGGCCACTCAGTTCCTAACTTCTGTCGGGTCGCAGAGTGGATATCGCGTTGTTCAACCCGATTGTTTCACACCTTTTCAGATCACTTCTTTGACGACTTTTTCTGCCTGGAGCCTGCTTCCACTGTTGACTCCGCTATCTTTTGTATCAAGGCTCTCTTCACAGAGCTTGGCTTTCAACTGGACCCTGACAAGTCGCAAACCCCCTCGGAGACTTGCGCAATCCTGGGCATTATGTTTTCTACCCAGAGCTTAGCGGCTGAGCGCAGGATTTTCTTGGAGGCCAAGCCGTCCAGAGTTACCAATCTCTGCGACACTATCAATCAGGTCCTGGACTCAGGGCAGCTGTCGGCCGCATCCGCAGCCAGTATTGTCGGGAAATTTGGTTTCCTGTGCTCCACATTGTTTGGCAAAGTGGGAAGGTGCTGCACTGGCCCTTTGCGGGCGCGACAGTACTCCCAACACAAATTTCAAGGCCTGACCCCTGATCTCAAATGGTCACTCCACATGATGCTTGCATTCCTCAAAATGTGCCCATCACGCGAACTATTCCTCGTTGACCGCCCCCCAGTCATCTTGTATACAGATGCTTCAGACGTTCCCGACAGACAACCGCAAAGGTTAGTCGGAGCGGTTCTCTTCATTCCGGAATCCCAGCAGCTGCTGTATTCCGCTCAGGAAGTTCCTCTCACTATGGTGGAATCCTGGCGTCCCCGGAAATCTTATATGGGACAATTGGAACTTGTTGCCCCACTCTGGGCCCTTGATCTCTGGGCCCCGCTCATTAGCGAGAGATCCATTATCTTATTTGTGGACAACGATAGCGCGGCCACCAATTTGGTGAAAGGATATTCTCCACAGCCCGACAGTTCCCACCTCGTCGGCACCTTTTGGTTGACCGCCGCTCAATTTAAACCTCACGTTTATATTGATCATGTTGAATCTAAGAGTAACTTGGCCGATGGACCATCCCGAAATTCATTTGCAGAAGTCATCCAGTTGGGGGGCACTTGGACACCGCCCAAGACTGGCACCTTGGGTGGGCCCGCCACGCTCTCCCCTTTCCAGCTGGCGCACTGGAACACCGGGGGGGAAGATCAGAGAGAGGTGACATCCGACGACCACCCAACCGGCGGGGGGAGGTAGAGTTGGGTGTTTCTCCCTGGTTGAGATGTTTGGCGATTAGGTCTCTCTGGGATTGCATGGGTCCTACT